GCCGAGTCCCGCGTGGACAGTGAGTACCGAGTCGCTCGTGTTTATGGCGCGTACAGCGAGTACTGGTCAGCAAAGTCTCGAGGCAGAGGCTCGGCGTAGTCAGTGGTTACCATCTGAACAGTGTTTGGACATTGATGTTGTGCAGTGGATATTGGCGATTAATCTCCAGTGCGTTGCTGCGTTGGGTCATGTGGCACGAGTCCGTTTCAGTCCTGGCAGGTATTGTATCAACTCTGAACATTGTCTTAATCTAGCGCACTGGTGCATCCTCCGTCCATTCAACCAGACGTGCTTGAAATTAGTGAACAGCCTCTGCTGGTGTTTGGTGCTCAACTGCTCTGTAAGGAGCAGTGCTTTTGCAGCGTCTTCCCCCAACATGGACAGCGTTTCCCAACAGCGGACCCGCTCGCTGCGGCCAACGCGCCGTGGGTGGGTCCGGCCAGCCGCGGCCCACTCGCTACACACGGCGCCGTCCGCCGCGCCGCCAGAGTCCATGTCGGGAGTGTGCAACTTCTTCGCCAAGGGTCGGTGCACGCGCGGAGACCTGTGCCCGTTCCGACACCTGCGGCGGCGACCGCTCCATCGTCTGCAAGCACGGGCTGCGCGGGACTCTGCAAGAAGGGGGACTCGTGCGAGTTCCTGCACGAGTACGACATGACCAAGATGCCGAGTGCTACTTCTACGCCAAGTTCAGTGAGTAGTGTCGAGAGTCGTCCCGCGGTGGGCGCCTCTGCGCTGCGGCGTTGAGAAGGGTTATCGGCGAGGGTGGACTCTTCCGCCTGTGGAATCTCGGTGGGACTCCTGCAGATGCTTATGATAAGTGCTTGTTTGTGGTGCTGATGGACAAATGGCCATGCGTTGTGGTTTATCAATGCTATTTGTAGCATAGAATGCATCGTAATGAGGGTTTGATTTCATGAGACAGGATTTTTAGCATGAAAACAAAGCTTATTGGAATGTGGCACTGTGTGTAGCACCCAGCTGCTCTTCAGTTTTCATTATGGCGTCACAATAATAGGATGTTGATAGTCACAGATCTCTTAGTTCGATTAGTGAGGCTTACAGCTGCGACATTTGTGCCCCTTTCAGTATTTGTTTGATTTTTGTTTAGGAAATGAATGAGTGTTGGTACATTAGACGTCACGCCGCGGCCAGTATGATGTTCCCTCCTCCTCTGTGACTGAGCGATGTTGGTGGCACCAGATGTGTGCCACTTATGGCATCATTGAGGCACCCACCGCTTGGCACCACCGTTTCGTATGGCTGATCGGCGCGGTCGCCTTCCAGACGCGTGGCTCTTCTCTCTCCCCCCCCCCCCCCCCTCCCGCTTCCCCAGCCGGCGCCACGGAAGCCGCGCCGGTCGCTCTGACGCCACCACTGACCGGCCCTCTCCGTCGGACGCGTGCCACAAGGAGTGTTCGTTCCCCCCCCCCCTCCCGCTTCCCCAGCCGGCTGCCACGGAGCCTCGCCTGTCGTCTGACCCCACCACTGACCGGCCCTCCCCGCCAGACGCCTGCCACAACAAGGAGTGTCCGTTCCTGCACATTGACCCGGAGACCAAGCAGCGCGACTGCCCGTGGTACGACCGCGGCTTCTGCCGGCACGGGCCGCTCTGCCGCAACCGGCACGTGCGGCGCGTGCTCTGCCTCAGCTATCCTGGCCGGCTTCTGCCCGGCCGGCGCCGGCTGCCGCCTCATACAGTGAGTGGCTGTCGACGGCGCGCCGTCTGCTGGCTCCGCCGGTGGCTGCGTCCGGTGCCAGGGTGGCGGCGGCGGACGTGAGCAGGCCCGCACGTCACCGCCGCGGCCAGTGCACCTGCTCAGGGTCCGCTATTGTCGTGGGGTTTCCGTAGAGGGTGGTCTTGTTCCATAGTAGGGTTTCCGTAGAGGGTGGTCTTGTTCCGTAGGGTTTGTGGGGTTTGTGCTAGGTTCGCCTGTCTGCATGCCTTCGGTGGACCTGGACCCTCGGTATCAGCCTTTAACGATCTGTCGGTGGCGATGTATGTATAGGATGACCTCATAAAGTCGGGACGTATCGTTCGATCTCACAGTCGTTTTGGGAGCCGTCGCTCCTGGCTCGGCCTCTGAGAAAGTTTGTTTCGGAGAATGTACGAGGGTGCCACCATTGAGCGATTCTCTACCATCATTGTCCCTGCCCAATGCTACCGTCCCCGGCAGTGATCTTTCCCCCCGTCCTTTTATGGCATGCAGGACGACGCGCGTTGGTCGGCGGCGTCACGCTTTCATCTCCCGTTCGCCTATCCCTTGCCTCCTTACGCAGGCACGTGCATTGCTTTTGTTGGAGTGTCGCACGTCGCGCCTCGAGAACAATCCCAATCCCACCGCAATCGCAATCCCTCAATCCCATCTCGTGCGACCGAGCATTGTTGCGTCTTCGTAGCTCCGCTGATGCACAGCCGGAATGTCTATGGCGGACGGTGTCGGCGGGCCCCTTACCGTCTCGTGTTTGCTGGAGGCGCCGGCGGACCCGACCCGCCGTCACGTGACCCGGCCCAACTCGCCGACAGCTCGCCAGCTCACGTGACCCGGCTGCTGCTGCTCGTAGCCCGTGGCCCGCCGTCAAGTGACCTGGTCCGCTGCTGCACGTGGCCCGTTGTCCGCTATCACGTGATTCGGTCCGCCGCTGTACGTTGCGTGTGGCCCGCCGTCACGTGACCCGATCCGCTGCTGCATGTGACCCGTATCCCGCCGTCACGTGACCCGGTCCGCTGCTCCATGTGACCCGTGACCCGGTCCGCTGCCGCCCCCGCCTCGCCCGGGGCTCACGGGGCCTGCTGACGCTGCCGTTCTGTGCGCAGTCCGCGGTTCGAGCTGCCGCAGAGCACCGAGGAGGGCAAGCCCGGCTCCAAGGGCAAGTCCAACATCACCTGCCACTACTGCGGCGAGGTGGGCCACAAGGTCGTCAACTGCTTCAAAATGTCGCCCGACAAGCGGGAGGCGCAGTTGCGCCAGGCCTCGGAGAAGTATGAGGTCAGTCACGTGGCCCGCGCCGGGGGCAGGTCACTGGAGGCTACCGGCTTGGGCGTCGTGAGTGTAACGTTGAGGTCCTGGGTTCGAAGCTCATCGCGGACAACTTTCTTTGGTCGTGCTTTACCAATGTCTCGTATAGTAATGGCCGGCGACATAACTTGCAGTCTGCGTGGCTCGGCATGCAGTGACGGCAGGGCCGCCCGCTAGCTATGGGTGCCTCTGCATCGACTCTACCTGACCTGACCTTACCTAACCCGTGCCCGGCGGCAGGCGGCGGCCGCCCGGTACATCGGCGGTGGCTCGCACGGTCGCCACGACACGGACCGCATCACGTGTTACAAGGTGAGGGTGCGCGGCGGGGGCCCGGCCTGTCAGGGCGGTGGCCGCCGACACTGTCAGCACGAGCGGCTCAGCCAGCTGCGTGAGAGCGCATAAACTGGTACCAATATCCAACCATTTGCAGGTCTGTTTGTGGGCTGTTTGCAATTGATTTTTTTTCGTGGCGATGTCCCATGTTAATTTTTGACGCATACTGGATGAAAAGAGCCGGATTCTCACGGCTGGCTACGTTTCGTAATTTAGCGCGTCTTGTGAAAAGTGGCGCCTCACTCGTGTTTTAAGAAGCTTAAGTACGCTGTGGCGCCGTTTTGTCACATGCCTTGCATGCATGCCACCAAAGATCAAGTTTTTACCGACATTTCGAGCATATCAAATACGTACGTGTCTATGTGATACGCGCACAAATGCTGGGAGCCACCGCCAAGCGTCGGGACAGTCGTTTAATATAAAATTATATATATGTAAATATATAATATAAAAATAATAAAGAATTTAATATAATAATAAAAACTTCGCCGTAGCCACGTCGTTTAATCCCGCCACATCTCGCCGCCGTCTGCGGGCGGCCAGTGTTCTGGTCCGAGCCCGCTGTGACCGACTGTGGGCCGCGGTGTGTTCACAGTGCGGCGAGAAGGGCCACTTCGCCAACCGCTGCACGCACGGCGCCTACTCGTTCCTCAGCTCGGCGCCGCCGGCGCCCGCCCAGGCGCCGGGCGCCACGTGAGCCGGACACGCGGCGGCAGGGCCGGGCACGTGGCGCCGGCGCCACCGGCAGTTGGCCCGGCGTCGCCTGCGTCGTCCGAGGCCACCCGGCCGGCGGCGTCCACCGCCAACGCGTGCGCGAGACTGGAGGCCGTGGGGTCCCGCGGTCGCACAGCCCCGCGCTGCGATCGGTGCGCTCGTGGAGAGGGAGGCCGCGGAAGACGGCGCCGCCTGTCGTCTCTCCCCCGGTGCACTGGTGATGATGATGATGATGACTGATATTGGACCCGGGCGGGCGCATGGAACAGGGGACAGTAGAGGACTGCGCCACCGGGTGGTCTGGACGGTGCTCGCCTGTGAGACGCGTCTGCACGGTGACTGCGGTAGCCCCGCCCCGTGTTATGTTCCAGGGGAAGCTCGTCGAGTGTCTGTCGCATGTCACGTGCAACCGCCATGTGTTTCAATTGTATATTTTGTACAATACAGCCTAGGTACGCTCGAAGTTTGAATTATGGCTTTATATAGGAGAAATGAGGACGACATGACAATCAGTGCGAAATGAGTCAAAGCATACGTACAAAAGTGTCCATGGGGCGACATAACCAAGCTCGGCCGCTGCGGTGGGCGCCCTCGCGACGAACGGCCCTCCACGCGCCGGCCGTGCCCCGGCTCGTCGCCGCGCTAAACCTCCAGCTACCGTGTCGCCGCCCGTCTAAATCAATCAGAACATGATACTGAACGCGACCGCAGCTGCGACCAAATAGCACTAAAAACACTGTAAATGCCAGCGGCGGCGGGGGCGACCCGCTCCCGGCGGCCGTCGGGGCGTGGCCGGCCGCCGGCCGCTGGCGGTGGGAGCCCGCGGCCGCCCCGCGCGCGCGCGCCATCACACGCTGGTCCGCCGGCGGCGCCGGCACGCCGCCGTCGCAAAAATACCGGCCCCCGACGCCGCACGCACGCCATTCGCTCACAGCTCGGCGGCGGCCGCCGCGCGCCCGACCGCGCCCTGCGGACGGTCCATCACACCTTCTTGAAGCTGGCCATGAAGCGGGCCTGGGCCGGCGCCACGCGCGCGCGCAGCTTTTGCACGAGGTTCTCGATTTTGAGGCTGGGCCCGACCTTCCAGCACGCCAGCTCCAGCACCTGATGCTTGGTGAGGTCGAGCAGGCGGGCGCCGTCGACGCCCGCCTGCTGGAAGCTGTCGCAGTAGGCGGCGCACTCGTTGACGCGCAGGAACTGGCCGACGTCGGCCACGGACCAGGCGGCCGGGTCAGCTGCCCGGCCGCCGGCGCCGCCGCGCCCGGCCCCGACGCCGCGTCCACGAGGCGCGGAATGAGCGCAGTCGGCGGCGCGTCCGCGTCAGCCGCCGGCGTCGGCGCCGGCGCCGGAGCCAGCGCCGGCGCCAGCTGCTCCGGCTGCTGCTGCTGCGGGGGTGGCTGCGCCGGCGCCGGCGCCGGCGGTGGCGGCGGCGGCGACAACTCCGGCACCAGCGCCGCCAGCGACTCGTCAGCGGCGGCGGCGGCGGCGGGACGCCGGCCGGGCGGCCGCGGCCGACGGCCCACCATCTTGCGTCCGGCGCGGCGGCGTCCGGCGCGCCGGCCGGCCGGCCGCTCGCCAGCGCGCGGCGGCTCCAGCTTGTAGCCAACCAGCCGGCACCAGCCGACCGGGAAGATGTCAGGACTGGCGGCGTCCACCCACTGGTCGAACTGCTCCTCCCAGCCGGTAAAGTGCACGCGCAGCAGGCGTCCGACCACGGCCGCCACCGTCGCCACACACACCAGCTGCGGGTCCATCAGATCCACCGCCTCCAGCCGCTGGCCCGGCTGAAAGCCGTGCGATAGCGGCGGCCGCTGGAACAGATGCGGCGGCGCCGGCTGAGCGCCCGGCTCGGCCGCCAGGTACGCCTCCCAGGTGAACGTGTCGGCCGTGTAGCCGTGCGGCGGCGTCAGCGGCACGCCCACCGTCCGGCAGAAGCGCGGCGGGAAGATGTATGGCGAGCTGACGTGGTAGCAGAACCAGTCGCCGCCCGGCTGGCCCGGCTCGGTCGGCAGCGTCTCCAGCCGCACCATCAGGTAGCCGCCGCCCAGAACCTGCTTGACGGTGGCGACGCCGATGCTGCTCAGGTTGAGCGGGTCCAGCGCCTCCAGCTTCATGCCCACCTGGTGACGGGAGAGCCGCCAGGGCGGATGTCAGCCGCCGCGTCCGCACAGGCCGCTGCAGCCAAGGGGTGGAGCACAGCTGATGGACACTCGGCACAGCTGGCAGACACAGCCAACAGACACCCACCATAGCGGCAGACACAGCTGATGGACACCCACCACAGCGGCAGACACAGCTGATGGACACCCATTACAGCGACATACACAGCCAACAGACACCCAGCACAGTTGGCAGACAGCCAACAGACAGTGGCAGATACAGCCTGCAGACACGCAGCACAGTGGCAGACACAGCCAACAGACACCCAGCATAGCAGCAGACAAGCCTTCAGACTCCCAACACGGCGGCAGACAGTCTGCAGGCACCAAGCACGGCGGCAGACACAGCCTGCAGACAACCGGCACAACAGCAGACAGTCTACAGACACCCAGCACGGCGACAGACAGCCAACAGACACCTAGTACGGCAGCAGACAGTCTGCAGACACCCAGTAGAGCGGCAGACATAGCCTGCAGGCACCCAGCACAGTGGCAGACACAGCCACAGACCTACAGTCAACAGACACAGGACACGGCAGCGGACACACAGCCGCCCGCAAGGGGCGTCAGACATGTTATATCAGCACCGGCGACGTCTACGCAGGAACACTTCGGCACCCGAGAGGGCTCCGGCGGCGGCGGCGGCCGCGGCAGCACCGAAACGGCCGCGACGAGCAGCCGCGTCACGAGCAGCCGCGTCACGAGAAGCTCCATCACGAGCACCCACGTCACGAGCCACAGCATCACACCAGAGCCGTCACGATGATCGCATTTTGATTTTCGAGCGCGTCGATTGCGGCGGTCATTTAACGCTCACTCACGGGCGTCATTTAACGCTCACTCACGGGCGTCAAATGACCGCTGCAGTCACTCGCTCATACATCTCTCATGTATTCAGCACGCGCGAGTGCTGCACGCGAAACGCGCTGATTCACCAGGCCTGAGTTTGCCACATGAGAACTCGCGCCATACAGCATTAAACGGGTGAATAGATCATCTATAAATTTGGTTTTTCCGTTTGGTTCGAAGTCCATTTGGTTCATGAAATCTAAAACCACCTTGGCTGAACAGGTCAGATTCTCGCGAACGGGAGATCATAGAGACTGGCTCGCAAAGCGTAGGAGCCAGAGCAGTGCCTGTGTTCAGCTTCTACGTGCCGACACTGAACGAGAACACAGACAGTTGACAGTCAGTGATCACAGCGACGGAGCAGAGCCGCCCGCACTCTGACGGCTCTGAACCAGCAGAGCCGCCCGCACTCCACTCTGGCGGTTCTGAACCAGCAGAGCCGCCCGCACTCTGGCGGCTCTGAACCTACAGAGCCGTCCGCACTCCACTCTGGCGGTTCTGAACCAGCAGAGCCGCCCGCACTCTGACGGCTCTGAACCAGCAGAGCCGCCCGCACTCTGACGGCTCTGAACCTACAGAGCCGCCCGCACTCTGGCGGCTCTGAACCAGCAGAGCCGCCCGCACTCTGGCGGCTCTGAACCAGCAGAGCCGCCCGCACTCTGACGGCTCTGAACCTACAGAGCCGCCCCGCACTCTGGCGGCTCTGAACCTACAGAGCCGCCCGCACTCTGGCGGCTCTGAACCTACAGAGCCGCCCGCACTCTGGCGGCTCTGAACCAGCAGAGCCTCCCGCACTCCACTCTGGCGGTTCTGAACCAGCAGAGCCGCCCGCACTCCACTCTGGCGGTTCTGAACCAGCAGAGCCGCCCGCACTCCACTCTGGCGGCTCTGAACCTGCAGAGCCGCCTGCACTCTGGGCGGCTCTGCAGGTCCGGCCCTGGTTAACAGTGGTGGGTTCACCTGGAAAAACTACAGCGTACGCCATTCTACACTTTGCACATCGCAAGCCACCGATGAATGCCAAGCGTCGGTGAAACCAAGTAGCCCATCCCATCTGGCAACTCCAAAGTCTCCTACGTCACAGTTTTCGCCGTGCCGCCGGCGGCAGCGCAGGCGGCGGCCGGGCGAGGCTGGCTGAAGACTGACCGTGAAGCCCTGCTGCGGGGCGGCCGGCAGCGGCGGCTGCCAGTCCTCGGTGACGTCGGTGGCCAGGTACTTGCCCGTCTGGCAGCGCTCCAGGTAGTCGGCCGGCGCCGCGATCTGGTGACCGACCGCCAGCGCCCAGCCCACCGGGTGCACCTGCGGCGCGGACGCACGCGCGGCGGTCACACTCACGCACGCACACGCGCGCGCACGTACCCAGCAGGCGGATGGGGAGCGAACGCAGCTGACGCACACGCACGTTCAGAGTAAAGGGACGCGGTACAAATAATAGTGGTCGTCCGCACGCCCTCGGAGGTCAGTCATGGTCACGGCTAGCGCAAGCGCACGCACAAACACACAAACACACACACACACGCACACACGCACACACGCACCCGCACCCGCACCCGCACACACACACACACACACACGCACACACACATATTGTCCAGGGAGTGGTGCATCAAGTCAAATGGCAAACAACACACACGCACTCCACACAGGCAACCTGTTGTCATGATTTAAAAAGCAGACGTCCATGACGCGGCAGGAACGGTTCACAAATTCCATTTTGCAACGATCAAACTTCACACCAAGATTAATCTCATCGACGACAGCACTGCCGCGCCGCACGGCCGACACGCCACGGCGTCGCCCCCAGTGAGGCGCCACGGCGACGGGGACGCCTCCCTCCCTCCGAGTCGGGACCCACCAGCGGCGAGTTCTCGTGGCACCAGTTCTCGTGTGTGTGTGTGCGTGGACAGAGCCGGGACCCACCAGCGGCGAGTTCTCGTGGCACCAGAAGCCGCCGTCGTCGCTGGGCGCGTCCAGGTAGCGGATATGCAGCCGGCGGCCGACCACCTGGCTGACGGCGGCGGCGCGCACCTGGCCGATGCAGTTCTTGTCCACCACCTCCACCACCTGCTCCTCGCGCAGGCTGGAGCCCAGGCTGCGCAGCACCTGGCGGCCCAGTCACGACGTGTCGCTCCAGCTCAAGTTGAGTCATGTGGGGTTACTCGGGGGCCCGGACAGACCGCGGCGCGACCTGAGCACCCCACGTATATGTGCGTCGCACTGGGTTTAAACGTCAACTTTTGGCCGATGCAGATATGAGAAAATCTGCTTCCACGGACGTTCAAGAAATCGGGGACAGCAAACTACCAGATACATAGCAAAAAGCTAATGGGCGCTGACTGCAACCCACCATACCCAACAACAGGCCAACCACCAGAACATTTGCAGAATGTCAAGTGAAAGAGAACGCAGGTTGGTTCATACATCTGGGTGCCTAAATCACTGGTAAAAATCTGAAGCTACCACGAGCAAATCTCGCTTGATCTATGCCAAATTGGGCAGTGCTCTCCAGTGGTCAACTCGACAAATGCGGCTACATTATGATGGAACTTGGCACACAGGGTGAACAGTACTGTAGCAGAAATGATAGACTGAGTACAGACAGCGGTGACTTTGCGGCGGAATTCGGCAGCAGCGTGCGTGCGTGCTTGCGTGCGTGCGTGCGTGCGTGCGTGCGTGCGTGCGTGCGTGCGTGCGTGCGTGCGTGCGTGCGTGCGTACGTCCGAACGTGTGAACATCCTTATGATGGCGGATTGGTGGCAGAAAAGTCGCCCTCACATTGAGGCCAGCGGGCAGTGCTACCTCACAAAGGGCGCTGACAGACGCGCCGACAGGTGGTGCTACACAGTGATGACAGCTGGCGGGCGGCGTCATAATGCGACGGGCAAGTCGATCTACAGTGTCGCCCTGTGATGCACACCGGCGGGACAGCTACACTGTGGCGGGCTTCGTGTGACGCCGGCTCGGCGAGCGGGCCAGCTGAGGCGGCCTTACCCGGTGATGGAAGTTGGTGGGCAGCGTGCGGGCGCCGGTGAGCCTCTTCACCAGCAGCTGGCTCCAGTCCGCGTGCCGGCTGGCCACGACCGGCGGCGGGATCAGCGGGCGGCCCTGCGTGGCGTACCAGCCCACCGGGTGCACGTCGTCCGAACACAGGTCCAGCCAGCGGCCGGCGCTCTCCTCCGCCGTCAGGCCTTCGTAGCGCACCAGGCCGCGGTAGCCCTCCACGCGCAGCACGGTGCCCACCCCAGCAGGCGGGCTCGAGGCCGCCGCCCGGCGGCTCGCTCACCACCTCCACCTTGAGGCCGACGCACACGTAGTCCCAGGCGGCCGCCAGCGGCGCGTGCCGGAAACAGGGCACGGGCGCGGCACTGAAGTCTGCCTGGCGCAGCAGGCCGTCCCAGCTGAACGAGTGCGCCACCTCGCGGCGCGGCGCCGGCTCGGCGTCCGGCGAGCCGGCCGAGTCGGCCGACAGCGGCGACTCGGGCGGCGCCGGCGCCTCGGGCGTGGCCGGCGCCGAGTCCGGCTCGGCCGCCAGGCCCTCCACCGAGCGCGCGCAGCTCAGACTGCAGTACTTGCGCTCGCGCGTGTAGAACGCGTGCCGCACGCCGATGGCGCCGCACTTCTGACAGCGCGCCATGCCGTCGCGCACGATCGGGATCAGACTCGGGTCGACGTCCTTCTCGTACGTGATGGGGCCCTCAGCTTCAGCTTGGGGTCCAGGTGTACCTGGGGGCGCGAAGCGGTCAGACGCGCAGCATCGCACCGCCCGCCTCCCGACCGACGCGCGGTCAAAAGGGCGGCGCGCAAACAGCCGACGTGCGGCTGCTGTCTCTGAGCCAACTGCGACGAATATCACGGAGAAAGGCGTTTTACGCGCCAGGTCACCGCAACGATACAACGCCATGCCGAACACAACTCGAACGTAACACGGACTTGTGCCATATCATGAAATACAATGATGTACCCATGGCAGCACCCCCGCGCGCCTGACTAGACGTGACTCGACGAACGACACGCGCGACCGACACGCGACAGCTCGCCACACAGCACCCACACCCACACCCACACACGCAGTGCCGCCCTCACATCGCACCCATCGGCGGCCAGCCGGCCCCGGCCACGCACCTTGGGCTTCTTGGCGTTCTGTGTGGTCTTGCGCCGGGCGTCGGGGCCGCCGGCCGCCTCCTCCTCGCCCGCCTCCAGCTCCATGTCGTCCGGCTTCAGCTCCGGGTCGTAGCCGCTGTACTCCTGGCGGCCCGGAACGGAGTCAGCCGTCGGCCCGGCTCACGTGGCGGCGAGCCCGACTCCGACCGCAGCCCAGCAGCGCCCGGACACACGCGGCTCAGCCGGCGGCGCAGCCCCGCTCAAGTGGCGGCGAGCCCGGCTCCGACCGCAGCCCAGCAGCGCCCGGACACACGCGGCAGCCTTACAGTGCAAATGCCATCCATAATCTTGTGGATGTTTTTCTTAATAAAAAAACCTGACAGCCGCCGCGGATAATGAACAGTGTGATACATTATGATATTTTTACGTGCACTGTTGCCGCTTTTGAAGGGCAATACACTCATCATTGTGTTGCCGATGCATAAGAAAGCTATTCAAACATGATGAAAGCATGTATAAATACATTGGAGCAATCCAGGATACAGCAGATCTTCCAACAATGCCCCATAACCGATCCGTGCATCATCATGAATGACAAGAACACTGTTACCAATACATATACTATATACTATATATATATATATATATATATATATATATATATATATATATATATATATATATGCGCCTCCCTCTCCCGCCGCCTCTCACCTGGTACCCCCACTCGGCGAACTCGTGCGGCACGGTGCCAGCCATATCGTGCGGCGCCGTCTGGTCGCCGGCGGCGCCGCCCCCGCCGGCGCCGCCGCCGCCGCCGCCGGGCGCCGGCAGCAGCGACACGGAGCGCGGCGTGTCGCTGAGCATCGGCGCCTCCAGACGTTGTTGAGCATCACGTCGTTGATGTCGGTGGTGAGCAGATAGGGCGCGGCGCCCGTGGTGGCGAACCAGCTCATGTTGTACTCCATGGCGCCGGCCGAGCAGCCACCTGCCGGCGGCGGCTGCCAACTGAGACGGGCGGCGGGCACGCGGCCGCCAGAGGGGCATGCCAGTCGCCGAAGGCACGCCGAGAGCGCGAACACTGACCGTGGCACAGTGCAAACTGGGAATCTCTATGAGGACAGTAATTCACACTATTTCTGGTTCAAATTATTATATGAATCACAAATTACACAAAAGTGTGCCATTGTCAGCTGAAAGAAGTGCAATTCAAAATGTTTGACAAATATTGAAGGTTGGATGAAACTAGGGGGTAGTTTTGTTGCATGTCAATGTTTCTTTCTCCAACTGCACTATCTTACATTACAAATGATGAACATACATTCTAATAAAATAAAAAAGATGCATATCACCATATGATCTCATGTTCTGGGACCCATAACTAGAAGAAAATTAAAGAACAGAATGTTTCACCACTAGTAAAAAAACACAATTTAATGCTTTCAGTAACTACATGAGTGTTTATGTTACTCAAACCACACTCACACAATGTGACATGCAATGTTAGAATTGCAGGACATATAAAAAGCATACATAGATAACTAACTTCCACAGTTGGAGGCACAGGTGTTAAATGTTCCCAAAATCTCCAAAATATCATAGAATTATCCCATTGGTGGACAAAATGTCAATCTAAACAAAATGTCCAGGTGCACATAATACACAAACTACTCAGTATCCCCCCTGACATTATGAAAAAAATTGTATATTAAGTTTCAGGGCACTCAAACTTTCATACAATCCATGGCAGAAAGCTGACAGACTGACCATTACAAAAAGCACCATCAAACATGGCTTGGGGTTATCAGGCAAAATCATGTTCTGAGAATCTGTCATGCAGTTTACGCATCTGAGTGTGGTTTTGTGAAGACGTAGCAGGTATGTCATGCATACACTTTCCAGCATACCTTAATATCTTGCAAAAACCACAGCTTATGGTTTTCACCCATCTAGCACTTAACATTCAGCACTGCACTAAGTTTGATTTGTTCCATGGTGAAACCATTACCACAGCTTCAAAAACACTTTGCCAATGAGTGTCTTTTAATTATATTACAGCAAAGTGTGAAGCACTTTCCACTGCACATGACCAAGCTGTCATGACCAAGGGTATATGAATTTGATTTTACAGTATTAGATGCTAGAATTGCATTTAATACCCTTTGATCATTGGTTCCATACATCATAGAGATCATTCATCAGGAAAAGGTAACAGTTTTATAGTTACTATCACATTTAAGGGGAGTGCTCCACATTCACAATTGGGGTTTTGGTCTGAAATAGCCATCCTGAAGACCTTTTAGTGCTATTCAGGAAGAGTATTTCATTGGGAAGATAATTTCAGGAAGAGTATTTCAGAGTCACCTTGGCATCTAGGATGTCACAATATTAAAGACTTTCAAATTCTGCCATTTCATAAGCCATGCAGTGATCAAAGTAAATAAAAAATTGTCAAGGTCTCCATATCTGGCATTTGCGAGTGAAATTTGCCAGAATTGTTACTGATAAAGGCTGTCAGTTGGCTCTCAGTCCATGTTGTGCAAGGTATAATGATGTAATCACACTATGACACATTGAGGAGTACATTTTCCTTAACAGAGAACTGTGCTGTCTATAGTGGTGTTCCAGCTTAAAAATTACAGCAATAGTCATAATTGAGTTTGTTTCATCATATCTAATGCTTGCTTCACAATCTTCAAATGCAAAGCATTCCTTTTAAGCATTTAACAGATAAGGAGGATTCTTTACCACAAACAAGAAGTTGCAAGCATGACTTTAAAAAAAATGGTAGCCAGAAATTGCAAGCATCTCAAGTATTATACCTGAAAAATATACCTGCCTGGAAAGATTGCTATTACAACCCAAATGAGCATTGTAACATAAACATACAGTTCATACAAGATAAACATTACACCATATTAAACCTAAAGGCTAAAAGAGGCAAGAATAAAGGAAAGCAATGTGAGTTGTCTCATAATTGCCCCATATTTGACTTACTTTCTGATGCTAGAAGCTGTGGACTAAAAATTCACTCTTGATTTATTTTTATAGATTTACCAGTTAATGCTTACATCATATAGTTTTGACTTAAATTCTTTTTAATCCCTGCACCCTGGGACAAAACCATCTTTTATGTCCAGTGACCCCAAGACACAGCTTAAAGAACAACACAAATACATACATGTGGAATTTTTACACAAACTCAAACAATTCTTCCAACACAGGTTAGCAGATTTCAATATAATATGAACACCCAACTTAACAAGTAGTGACAGTGATTGTTCAGCACTACCTCAATAAAAACATTACCTTACAATGCATTACACCAGTCCCTTTGCAAAATTGACTGATTTATAGACCTTGTCAGAGAGCACTTTAACTTGGTGTTATGGCTGGATGGCATCTTGCACAGTTATAATAACAATCATGCAATAAAGTTCTTCACACCCAAATTCAACTCAGCCATTGCCACTCACCATTACAAGATACCCCTCAACTTCAAATGAGGTAGATAAAATCTACATCATAAATTGGCTTTAAATATTTTTTGTATTCATTGCCTGTCAAAGTGTTCAGCTGAGCAAAAACATGCCACTCATCCTAGAAGTAGCAAATGCAGACTATAGTTTCAACCTGACCCTGAGATTTATACCCAAATTTGTAATTTACCAATAAATGAAGAAAGCATCAAATATGTTCATTAACAATGATGGACAGATACAGCAGCAAGAAGCAGCAGACAAATGCCCTTTTCTCATAGCAAACCAATTTTAGCCTGGTGCTAATGCGTGAAAAAATGTGGCACTCAGCCTGCTCCACTGCTTCTTCAGGACCATCACTGCTAATGACAGGGAGAAAATGTGACATATAAAAATAATCCACTGCATGGTAAAATGTACCCTCAATTTGAAATCATACCCCATGCCAAACATGAAAGCTAAAAAGTTTAGATATAAGAAACCCTGTCTTTCAAAGTATCACTAAGGCATTACCTGACTTGTGATATGATAACTTACACTATAGAACCAAATGGCCAGTGATCACAAAAAACATGACTTTTACTGGAATGTGCATGTCTTATTTGTTTATCAGCGAAGCGGGTTCCTCAAGATTAAGTAATGCTGCTCCTCACTTTTCCCATAAGACAACTTCACTTCAAAAGTCCACACCACAGCTCAACAACTAGAGCACAATTACAAACTGGATCCAATGACAGCAAACAAAAAGATCATCCCAGATGGCACTGTAATGAGGTACATTGTTAAATCCTGAGTGAAATAATTGTTCCAACTGATGGAATATGATTTACCTTCAATCAAATCCTTTACAACAGTTTGCACATTTTTTAATAGCAAAATGTCATTTCTATGTTAAGAGCTGCCATTCAAACATAACCAATGAACTTAAGATAACAAATGTCATAGCTACCCCAGTAACGTTTCATTCCAACTAAATCAGGAAAAAGAAAACCTTAAAGCATTCAACCCTGGGGCGGAAATGGACAACATCGAGCAATCCACAACATAAACAAAGACCACGCTTCTCAGGACACATTTCGCGCACAAACCGGCGCAGTCCGTTTGAATTGAATTTTACCAACCCCAGCTCAGAAGATTGGACTTGTGATGTCTTCTTGACACTTCTGCTCTGATGTTCTGGTGTTGAAACATAAATTCACGAAACAAAACAAGCTTTTACATAAAATAATGCATTTTTTGCGCACCACCGCAACACCATTCCAATTCGCGGCAATTGCGCCGCACAAACGGCACGCGAGATCGTTTGTGTATCAGCAATATGCAGACGAATCCTTGTCATAATTACTCTTTTAATTTTTTGATATTTTCATATTTATGCCAATTGCTCATCAGTATTTAGTGTACTTCATAAAAATTGGGACATGATGAGAACATTTCGTTGCAATTACGAATCAAATTCAGGATATATAATCAGCAAGCATCGCTTATGCTGAATGTTTATTGTGCATTTTGTTTTATCAGCAGCGCATACCGCACCCGATCTTCGCACTTCCGAGCATGTTTGATATTGGCGGGGGGCACAATCGTGATTTTTTAAGGGAACCCAGAGCTCATTGAAAAGGTATCACGCCGATTTGCATCTGTCAGGGTGCCATCTAAAGTGAAAAGGTAAATGCGCCCTAATGCCCGCTGGCTATGCTTATGCTTTACTTGCCCCTTGGTTATTCTGTCTGCCGTCCAAAGGCAAAACGACCTAAGACAGAGCCATTAGTTAACGAAGTACTTGAGTTTACAAAGTACTAAAATGGCATCCTTTGGCTTTTGGACGGCAGACTTCCATGAAGCCAAACAAAGGTGCTGCAATTGGGTCTTCTGATCATCATTTTTGATGCATCCTTTTGTGAATTCACCAGAAAAGTGCAATAGGGAAGAGATTCATGGGAATCCGAGTCGAGCCGTTCAAGGCCGACGCTTTTAGAAACCACCTTTTACGACACTGAACAGCAGGTTTTCCAGGTGCTGGCAAAAACCAACACGGAGCCTACGATGTGTGAATACGGAAATGCTGAACAATCCGCATTTACCGCTCGATGAGTTATGGGGGCTAGTCACCGGATTTAGGACCATGTCCGCCGGTTCGCTAATCCAGCCGATCTAATTGCGGCTTCATGGACCACCTACTCTTTGCGCGAGGCGTTGGCAAAACAATGGCCTTCAAATTTCTCGCGGCAGGGTCGAACTCCTGTCCTGGACAGCGCCAGCTCCGTCAGTACATCCAGCGGCATAGCACTCACCGTCCACCACCGCAGCACTCCCCAGTCAACGCATCGTGTATTGTCATCATATGAGGCTACAACCAAAAATACCGCCCGGGCTTCGGTCGAGGTGACGTAAAACACCGCGCCATGCCGCGGGTGCGACGCTGAGCTAACAGGCACTCGGCAGTGTAGCTGGGCTCCTCGGCTGCCCAGGCACGGGGCCGCGAGCAGACGGACGGCACAGCGCGCGCGCACTGACCCGGACCAGTGACATCATCAGCGGTGAAAAGTTGCGAGCTAACACCAGCAAGCCTGGGCGAGTCGCCGGCGCCGCCCTCGGCCCCACCACAGCTCGGCGAAAAGCTGTGATAGCGCGCCCGAGTGCAACGGCCCGAGTGCAACGGCGCGACAGCGGCCGTTCGTCACGCCTCTGCGCACAAGCCGCGGGCGTCCACGCGCAACACCAGGTCCGAGCAGAGGCGTAACAGTCCCGGTGGGATGCGGACCAAGTCCGATCGGGGATCCGCCGCTGCCCCACGGCTTCCGCAGAGCGCACATCTCGCGCAACAGGTGGCGGGCTCGCCGCCGGCCAGGCCGCGTCGCCGCTGCAGAGCACACGCTCGGTGGTTAGTGTAACGGTAACGCAACATAGAATCAGCGGTCGCTACGCTAGTCAAACATTGCTTCCACCACTGCCGCGCCAGTCTGGGGCACCCGAGTCTATGTTCTCCCAGTCAGTTTTGATAACGCGTTTGGATGAGAACGCTGTCGCCGGTAGAGAAAACCGCGTATGGAGTTGAAAGGATGGAGTTGAGCGCTGTCGCGGATAGAGGAGACCGGATATGGAGTTGAAAGGGATGGAGTTGACCGCTGTCACGGATAGAGAAGACTGGATATGGAGTTGAAAGCTGTCGCGGATAGAGGAAACTGTTTATAGAGTTGAAATGGATGGATATAGACAGCGAAAGACAAAAACACGACCGGGGCGAGAACCAGGCGGTGGGGGCTGTGGATAGGAGAAACAAACAAGCAGAAGAACACACAGGAAGAGCGACAGCCAGTCCCAGCACACAACGGAGTATCCGACACCCCCAGCGAACCATTGCAACGGAGCCCAGCATGCAAACCTTCGGAGAAATGCTCAACCCGCTTTCAACACAATTGCGGTTGTGGAAGTTTAAATCACAGACAGTTAACATCGTCCTCGCCGTGTGACCTCGTGTGACCTGGGCAAGAGGACAGACCGGTCGCATGGCTGCGTCTCCCCGACCTTCCTGGCTGTTTGTACAAGCACGAGAGTTACCGTATCCAACACATTTCGGATGCTACCAAACCGCATCAGAGGCAATGCGCGTCCGTTGAAAGGCCGCCCCAGTTCAGGCGATTAATAACGTTGATAAGTTAATCTGGGCTGCTACTAGCACTTAGAGTCTACACAGATAAACGTCTCATATAACGCTAACCCACGCTGTGCAACGAACCACTTCCGATAAACTGTGAGAACAATCCACGGAGTACCGCTAAGGCCACCTCAAAAGGCCGGCCGCTCCGTACAACAGTGACCGCGGACATGCGGCGGGACCGGCTCCAAACATGTTAACGAGGCGAGGACAACGCGCAGGTCATCTATCCATATTCAAGGGCAATTCACGGCCTCGCGAGTTTGCATACGAATGCACCAGGCCACGGCGCGCCACCGCGTGGAACCAACGAGTGTAGTTAGTTGTATCTCTTTCCGCCATACGCCCAGTGACAACATGACAGCGGCCATCCGGCCGTCCAACCCACGTAGGCCTCCGAATCAGCTATTCCGGCCCACCCAAACACACCTCAGGAGCGGAGCTCCAGGCCCAACGTCCTACAACAGATGGGGCCACCTGTCGGACCGGCGGCTCAGAACGTCTCGCCGGCGTCGCACTGGTCGGCCGTGTGGCCGAACATCTCGCAGGCCATGCAGAACTGGCGGCGCACGCCGCGCGCGCCGCCGTGCCGGCTCGGCGGCGGCTCCTCGGGCGTGCTCGCCTGCGTTGGGCACTCGTCCGTGTCGTGGCGGTCGAACTCCTCGCAGATGTCGCACCACAGCCGCGGCGGCGGCCGCGCGGGCGCCGCCGGCGACGCCGCCTCCTCCTCCTCGTCCTCGTCGCCCACCGCCAGCAGGCGCACCTGGCGCGTCAGCTCGTCGTTCCTGCCCTGCAGGTCGGCGATGACCGAGTTCAGGAAGTCGACGTGGCCGGCCGCATCGGCGGCGCCGTTGGTGAGCGGCACGGCCGGCGCCGGCCGCGCGCGCTGCTGCGCCTCCAGCAGCAGGCGCCGACTGGTCTCGGCTTCGCGCCGGGCGTCGTCTAGCTTCTGCTGCTGTCGCTCGAGCTCCTCCCGCTGCTCCAGACGGACCGCCGCCACGTCCCGGTCCCCTGGAGTCGAGCTCCTCGTGCAGCTGCTCCAGTTTGGCTTCCTGCTCCCGCCGAAATGCTGCGTTTTCTCGTTCCGTTGAGTTCAGTTTCTGCTTGAGACGTTCCAGTTCCTGCTTTCGCTCCTGCCCGGCTGCAGCAGAGTCCTGTTTCTTGGAGGCCAACTCCTGTTCAAGTCGCTCCAGCTCCTTCTCCAACTTTTGCCTCGACGCAGCGCCGTCTGCCTCCTTGGAAGCCAATTCCTCCGTCAGCCGCTCCAGCTTCCGTTTCTGCTGCTGTTGAATCGCAGTAGCGTCTTGCGTTACGGACTCCAGCTCCAGCTTCAGCTTCTCCAGTTCCTCCTGCTGTTCCTGCCGAGCCGCGGCGCTGTCTCCTTCTTTGGACGACAGTTCCTTCTTGAGCCTCTCCAGTTCCTTACCCTGCTCCTGTCGGACCACAGCAGCATCCTCCTCTCTGGAGTCACGCTCCTGCTTCAGTAGCTCTACCTCTTGTCGAAGCCGTTGCAGCTCCTCCTGCTGGCAGCTGGCCTCGGCGCGCCGCTCGTCGCCGGCAGCTGCGGAGCTGCGCTGCAGCTGTCGCAGCTGGTCAGCGACTCGCTCCACCTCGGCGCGCCGCTCCTCCAGCCGGCGCTCAGTCTCGGCCAGCTTTGCGTCGACCTCAGCGCGGCCGTCCGTCAGCGCGGCGACGGCGGCGCTCTTCTCGTCGAGCTCAGCTCTCAGCCGCTCCAGCTCCGCCCGACGGCCGTCCGCCTCTAGCTGCGCGTCCCCGCTGGCCGTCACCTGCTGTGCCAGCCGCTCCTTGTCGGCCCGCAGCGCCGCCAGCTCTGCCTCCAGCTCCGCCAGCTGCCGCTCGCGGTCTGACAGCGTCAGCTGTCTGTCGGCCGCCTCCTGCCGCAGCGTCGCCTCCGCCTTCCGACTTCGCTCGCACGCCTCGGCGGACGCGGCCAACCGAGTCGTCGCCTCGGCCAGCTTTCTCTCCCACTGCTCGGCGTCCCTCGAGCCGGCCGCGGCGCTCTCCTCCACGCGCTGCAGCAGCGCCTTGTTCTCCGCCGCCAGCGAGTCTGCCTCCGCCGCCTTGCCGTCGGCGAAGTCCTTCAGTGCCGTGACGCGCTCCTTGAGCAGCTCACCGTCACGGCGCCACGTGTCCAGCTGCGTCTGCAGCTGATCGGCGCGTCTCTCGGCCGCCTGCTGCCGACCGGTCGCCTCGCGCAGCTGACGCTCCAGCTCGTCGCCACGCTGGCGCAGCTCGGCTAACTCGGCGCCGTCAGTGGCGGGGGCCGGCGCCGGCCGCTCGCGACGTTTCTCCTCGGCCAGCTGCGCCTCCAGCTCGGCGCGCAGCAGCGACTGCTCCTCGGCGTTGAACTGCAGGTCCTCGGCGCGGCGCTGCTCGTCCTCCAGGCGGCGCAGCAGCGCCGTGCGCTCAGCCTCGACGTCGGCCTGGTCGCGCGCGGCGCGCTCCGCCGCCCGACGCAGCTCGTCGGCGGCCGCCGCCAGCGCACGCTGCTCGTCGGCGCGCTTCTTCAGCTGCGCCCGCAGGCTGGCCAGCTCGTCGTCCGCCTCGTGCCGCACGCGCGACGCCTCTCCCTCCAGCAGCATGATGCGCTGCATGTTCTCGTTGATGTCGGCGGCGGCGCGCGCCGCCTCCAGGCGCACCTCGTCGCGCTCCTTGGCCAGCGTGCGCACCTCGTCGGCGCGCTCGCGCTCCGAGCGGCGCGCGGCCTCCAGCGCCGCCTTCGCCGCGTCGCGCTCGCCGTCCGCCTTGGCCAGAGCCTGCTGCAGCGCGGCGGCATCGGTCGTCAGGCGGCGCGCCTCCTCGCTGCGCGAATCGCCGGCGGCGCTCTGCTGCTCCAGCTGGCGCCGCTGCTCTGCCAGCTCGTTGCGCAGCAGCGCTGCCTCCTCGTGCAGTCCCTGCTCGGTGCGGCTGCTGAGCGCCAGCTCTGCGGCGCGCTCGTCCAGCAGCCGCTGCTGCTCGGCCAGCTCGGCGCGCAGCCGCTCCGCCTCGGCGCGGCCGGCGGCCAACTCGTCGCGCGCCGCCGCCAGCTGCGCCTGGTGCTCGGCCTGCAGGCGCGCCGGGTCGCCGCCGGCCGCCTGCAGGCGCAGCAGGTCCGCCTGACCGCGCGCCGCCTGCAGCTGCTCCGCCTGACGCGCGGCGTCCGCCTGCGCGGCGGCCAGGCGTGCCTCGAGCTCGGCGCGCACGATGGCCGCCTCCTCAGCGGAGAACTGCAGCTCCTCCGCGCGGTGGCGCTCGTCCTCGGCCGTGTTCTGCAGCTGCGCGTGCGCCTGCTCCAGCTCGGCCAGCCGCTCCTTGAGGCGTGCCGCCTCCGCCGCCGCCTCCTCGCGCTCCCGCTTCGCCGCCAGCACCTTCACCTCACCGTCGTCCACCAGGCTGGCGGCGCGCACCACCTCCGAGCGTTCCATGTCGCGCTCGCGCAGAAGCTGCTCGATGTGCTCCTCCTTCTCCTTGAGCACCTGCTGCAGTGCGTGCGTGGAGGCGGCGGCGGCGCCGGCGGCGCGCGCGCGTGGCGTGGCCGCAGCGGCGCGCGCCGCCGACACGCGCGACGCCTGGCTCGCCACCGACTGCAGCGACTCTCGCGACGTGGAACGGCGCAGCGCGTGCACGCCCATCTTCTGCGAGCTGCGCCGCGCCGGCCGGGAGATCTTGTGGGCAGGCGCGAACAGGCCGTAGTTGGGCCGGCACGAGAAGTAGCGCTTACCGGCCACGGTGCCGTCGTTCTTACCCGAGGGCGTCTCCAGCTCCACGCCCGCCCACTGCCCCTCGGCGAATTCGGTCTTGCCGAGGTAGCGCAGTAGGCCCGTCTTGGAGCCAGAGCTGCTGGAGACAATCACCTTATCACCCAGCTCCAGGTCCTCCCCAGGCGAGGAGATCATTGATGAATCCATGGGGCTTGTGACCATTGATGCATTGGTGGCTCGTGTTCCCATGGCAATTGAGGACCTTCTGGAGCTAGGGACAGAGCGTCCATCTGCCACGGCATCTGCTTCAGCTCCAGTGCTGCCCAGGGGTGTCCTGCTCAGCTTGGTCAGTCTGGAGAAAATACCCCTGTTCTGCTCACACATGAAGTAACGGACACCTGCCACTGAGCCATTGTTCTTGCCATCAGGGGTGTCCAGAACAACACCAGCCCACTCACCTGGGGCAAACTGGGTCTCCCCAATATACATAATCTGACCAGGTTTTGTTCCGCTCACCCAGACTCTGTCCCCAACTCTGAAGCTGGATGTATCTGCTGTCAATACAGTGGCATCTGATGGTTTTCTTGGGGCATCCGATGGCCTTCTTGAGACATCTGATGGCCTCCTTGGGGTGTCAGATGGCTTCTTTGGGGCCTCTGCTCCAGGGTGACCACAGCTGAAATGTTGTGGATCCCCATTTTGTCTTGCCAACCCAGCTGTGGGTCTGGCTAGCCTGCTTGGGGGCTTTACTCCAGACATCTTTCTTGCAGAATCCATAATAGCTGGTTGATCAATCTCCACAGCGGCAGCAATGCCCAAAAGAGCTGGGTGTTGTCCTCAGTTCTTGTTACACACAATGCATTCAGTCCCAGCAACAATAAACACCCTTCCAAGGAAGCTTGAGTGAAAGTACTTACTTCAGCAAGACACAGGTTAATCAGGTCTTCAGATGCCTACAGCTGCAGTCAATTGTGCACCTAGGAAGATCCCCTAAGCCACTACATGCCTTTCTTCCTAGACAAGACGCATTTCCAAGTCACTATTGAAAATCACACCAACAGGTGACACCACATCGCGTGGACACGCCACTCCCTCTCCAAGACATGCACAGCTGTAAAATGTGTCACGCCACGCAGACGCCAAGGCCGTGGATATGTCTCTATGAATCATCCCAACCACCGAGGAATCCACGCTATGCAGGCAGTATCCCATACAAGGCTACGACCGCGGACGCTCGCCCTACAACCATCAAAACAACGCAAGTGATAATCGAAAGTGAGCCAATTGGGCGGTGTCCAGATCACGGAGATGCTGATCGCCTCAAGGTTTTCCTGCTTTCGACCAATCACATACTCGTTGGGAACATTTGGCCCAATTGAACAACTAGAATAATGCAGTTTCTTGCATGAGAGCAGGTGTGAACAAGATGCAAAAGTTCCACATATATCAAGAGCCTTGAAAACAGGACAAACCTTGCGCCATAGCGACGCTTCAGTGCTTTTGAGTTCCGGGATATGTGCATTCGGGGGTTGTCTGGGAGCGTAAGGCTATTTTCGATGGAGTGTTTAACTGTTCACAATGGCTGCTGACCTTCACATATTTTTCAGCTACCTGTCTTGCGTAAGTAGTCTAATCTGCTTAGCCACCATTCATATCGAAATATGGTCTTGGTTTTGACCGGTTTGACAGTAATGTGCCCTTCCTGAAAGTCGTGAAGCCCCGGATTTTGCAAACAGTTTCGAGGCTCTTTATCTACTTTACTTGGTTTTGAAGATCATCAATGCCATGAAAAGATAATATTCTGAGGGAGAATGACCTTGGCATTACATATTGGCTAAATTTCCCAGGCTGGCATGCCATTATGAAATGACATTGGGTGTCTGAGATATCAGCATTGTCCCCCCATGGCTGAGGGAGGGCTTACATGACTAGCTTGCACATAATGTGATTTGCATGGAAAACTACAGCTTATGTATGAGATGATGTGATATCAGTCATTCATTAACATATTTCTTTTACTTCAAAATCAATAGTTGGTCATTACTAGGCTGTAAATGGAGCCAACCAACCAAATCTTACCAAATTGGAGCTGATGGTCTGTTTAAGCATGAAAAGGGTGACTTCACTTTACCTTACCTTATGGGTGGTGGAAATCATGAGGTAGGTAGCACATGGGTCACACTCCCTTCAAGCTCTGATTTGTGTGCTCTTTCCACTGGCTGTGTCATGTCTGATGGTCTGTGAATCAGGGGTGTAGCTTTATGAAAGGGGTGCGGGTGCTGAGCAGGGCAAGATGGCTAAACTGATGGCCAAAATATGCCAAAAAACATTTTCTACCCAGATTTGGCTCACTTTCTAAAGAGATTGAAACCTTGCTTCTAAAGCTGGAGTTGAGCATGAATGATAAATTGGTGGTACACTGCTTTTTGTCCTAGTTTTTTATTTTATTTTAGAGGCTGATATCTGCTTTCTGTGCTGTTTCAGTACCCTGACTTGATAAGAGCCACATCAGATGATGCCAGTCCAACACCTGGGTACCTTCTACACAAAATATCAGGTGAGCTGAATTGCACTTTATTGTTAGATTACACAACTAGTTTCAATATACTAGAACACAATCCAATCATTTTTGCAACATGTGCTCATTTTATTGATGATGCAACTATTGATTGCACACCACAATGTTGTTCTGGTTTTGTGACAAGAAATACTTAGTTGTGAAGAGGTATCCATGTTAACTTGTTCAATACACATTGTTGCTCAAGCTATAAATGTTTGTGCTCAAAGAGGTTATAGGTTTGGTAAATGATTTGTTATTTTCTTTTGAAATCATTATATTTTTAGGGTGTGCCATATCCTCTTTGGTGATGGTTGTAATACTTGATTCTGACCTGGCTGTGTCATCAACATTTTGAAGTATTGTGCTAAGCCAACCACCAGCAATGACCACATTCAAACAGTGCCACTGACTGGGCAGCCATGACCTCTGTTGTTCCGGTGGTGACCCCATTGTGTTACAGAGGTGACCCTCACCTCGCCTGCCCAGACACCAAAGTTGGTAGACTTCATGGTGGTCCGTCTGCAGAACACGTCCTCACCGACTGCCAAACTGAAGGTGTGTAACTGGGATAAGTCTTTGCCTGGAATCTCTGAGGTGCCATGTCTTGTGCTGTACTGTGTTGAGCCACAAACCCTTTACTGGATGTATCAGTGTTGCGCTTCTGACCCGCAGTCAGGCGCCGGACCACTGTTTGACAGAGCCTCTGCTAGATGTTATACTGCCACACTGCAGACCCTCCATCTGATCCCACACTGCCACACTGCAGACCCTCCATCTGATCCCACACCACCACACTGCAGACCCTCCCCCTGATCCCACACTGCCACACTGCCGACCCTCCATCTGATCCCACACTGCCACACTGCAGACAGTCTGACTGATCCCACACTGCCACACTGCAGACCCTCCATCTGATCCCACACCACCACACTGCAGACCCTCCATGTGATCCCACACTGCCGCGCTGCAGACCCTCCATCTGATTCCACACCGCCACCTCGCAGACCCTCCGTCTGATGCTGTACTGCGCGCGCTACGGCGGCCCCGAGTTCCGCCGGCTGCTGCGGTCACGTGACGGTGACGTCACGGCGGCCAGCGCGGCGTGCGGCCCGGCCGACCCGGTGCTGGGTGCGACGCCGCAGCTGTGGGTCCGCTCCACCTCTCAGGTAAGCTTGGCTCGGCCCGAGGCCGACCACGCTGTCCGAACCGAGCGTCGCGCGTGCGGAACGAATGGCAAGTGCGTCATCACAAGCTGCTGGTTGGCGATGCGTGAGCGGTCAGGAACTGCTGGTCAGTGGTGTACGGCGCGGTTCGTCGTGCCAGCTGCTGGCCGGTGACGCTTCAAACGTATCGTCAGGAACGAGCCGTCATAGCACGGCTGTCAGCAGGAGCCGCCGCTCGGTGAAGCGCCGTGTCCGTCGACGGGAGTGGGCGGTGCTTGATGCGCGCGCTGCGTCGTCAGGAGCTGCTGGCGCTGCTCTTCTCGTCGGCTGACGAGGCGGCGGGTCCGCGCGTGCCGGCGCCCGGCCTCGGGCCGGCCACGCCCACGTCCGGCCAGTACCAGGGCTTCGGCGTCTCCACGGCGCGCCGCTCTGGTGAGGCTGCCGCGCCAGGTGGCAGCTTCGCTGTGATAACATGGTTGTCTTACAACCGGGTACGCGCAGACACCCCTGGTTTACTCCGTCTGTTGAAACACTGCGACCGTGTCGATCTTTGATGTTGTTTAGTGGGGTCCCTGGGGACGTGGTCCGCTGAGGTATTGCCCCATGTTGTTTTTTGACACCGGTGTGTGTCTGTCACTAGGTGGCGTCCGACTCTCAGCCCGCGTGCGGCAGCTGATGGAGGACGCCCTGTCGCCCCCGGCCGCGCCGCCGGCCGACCCGCTCGCCACCAGCAGCGGCCAGTACGAGCCGCCCTCGCCGCCCGCCGTCGGCCCTGCGTCCGAACCGGCCGGCCTGCCGCGGCCGCCGCCGGCCGCGCGTCTCCCGGCCGCGCGCCTTCCGGACCCGCGCCTCCCCGCCCCGCATCCCGCACGAGGTACGCAGCCGGGGCGGGCACGGCCTTCGGTGCGGCGTGAAGCGGCGGTCGCAAAGCCTGGGTGGTGGACCGATCTTGAGGCGGGAGTGTTATAAAGGAGACGCTGGTCATGAAGTGTGGCGTTGTCGCGTTAACGTTTGGCGCATGACACACTGACAGATTTTGCTGGGATGTGATTTCCGCGAGTGATGCCGGCGCTTTTTGACCTAACGGTATTGCTCAGTCATTTGGTGTGTAATAGCCGGGCCCGATTTGTCTTGATGGATAGTGCGTCCTCCGCGAGGTGCGGTATCGCCGCTGTGCATCACTGTGAACGGCCCATAGCTCTAGCAAGGCTCCACCCTGTTAGCTGTGCTGTGGGAACATTTCGTCAAGCATTGCCCCATCACGCACTGTTGTGACGCCACATTGTGTCCCTGCTCCCGCTGTCGCCACCGGTCGGATGTTGACCTGTCACCGACCTGGCAGCCGCTGGGCTGACACAGACCTGACACCAGCCGCTGGGCTGACACCGACCTGACACCAGACGTTGGGGTGACACAGACCTGACACCAGGCGCAGGGCTGGCACTGATTTGTCACGACCCTGACACACACAG